TCATACATGATGATCGATACAGCACGATTGCTTCGATTTCGTAATCATCATTATTCGTTACGGATTGGATTAATAGATAAAGTTACAAACTATCATGTGCATTCTAATTTTTTAATTATTGTATTTAAAAAAAATATATATATTTTATATATTGTCTAAATATGTTTTAAAAAAATACACAAATGTTTATCTGAGTTATAAATCTTTTAATGTTTTTCTAACAAAATTCTTTTATACTTTTGATAACATTATGTTATAAATAACTTGGAATGAAAAATTTATATACTATGTGATTCATGAATTATTTATTATTTTTTAATTACGCAATGAGATGAAACGTGTCTCTTAGAATCAATTAGAAAACTTTTGAAACCGATTACGTATTGTGGAGCTGAAAATTTCAAAGGCAAGGGCACGATCGTGGCAAGAGAAATCGCGGCCAATTCCGATTGCAATGGTGTTTCGCCGCGCGCGCGAAAACAATTCTGCCAATGTAACGCCCTGTAGACGTGCGATTTATCCGACCCACCCACATTTAGCCGTGCGATTTAACGAGCCGTCGTGTAACGGTCGCTTAACGATGATTCAGAGATCGGTCAAATGGTGCTTGAACCTCTCCTCCACTCATCCTCCCTTCCGTTCTTGCTCTCTCTCTCTCTCTTCCCCCCGCTCTCTCTCTTTCTCTCGTCGCCTTTGATATACACGTCACTTCATTCTCTCGTCTCCTCTAGTACACCGCTCTCGAGTGTTGGTCTCGCCAACTAACAATAAGAACTCCGAGAACGAGGCTGCTGGCGGGAAATGATCTTGGTAACTTCCTTGCTCCACGTTTGATAATCACAACGTTCTTTCGTTCCTCTTTCATTTTCTTTTCAGATGTATTTGCAAGTAAAATCGCTAAACATATTGTTTATCGCTGATAAAACATTGAAAAATAAATATTTTATTTTTATTTTTTTATTTACATAATACTAACGATATGTTTTATACGTAAATAAAAATAGCAATTGCGTGTGTTTGTACGGTTTATCATTTAAATAGTTCTTCTTTAGCATGCGTACAAGTGTTGAAATTATTGTTTCAATAAGATAAATGACTTTTCGTAATGAAAAACATCATTATTTAACAAGTATATCTGCACAATGACAATTGTATATTATATAACAGAGGAATATAATTAAGAAAAGATACGTACATTTTTACAAAGATTCTTTTCGCGTGTCGCAGAACCGTTTTAATAAAAAAGTGATATCAACAAACTCAATAGAATGATTAAACTGAATTTTCTACTTATTAAACTCGATTCATATCCGAAATACTGACGTGTTTCTATTATATATTTCGTTCATTTAAATCGACACTCTATCTTGTAGCATAATTGGATTGTTCTATACGCGCAATCTTTTATTATTTCAAGATTTAAATAATTCGCGAAATCGTCAGGATATCAGTTCACGTGAAATTGATTTTACAAATTCAGCGCGACCTTCTATAAATGACAGGACAAGTTCGCAGTGCAGTGACCTCCCGCGTATTCCGCATGCGGAACGAAACGCCCGCGTAGCGTCATAACTTCGCGCTCGTAAACCTCCGGCGGCAAAACGAACGGCACTTCCGGAAAGCACGGTCCTGATGCACTTTAGGGGTCAAAATGCATCAGCGGGTTAAATCTCGAGTAGAGAGAATTCCACTTTTGCGCAACAAGCACTTTCTCGATTTAGCGTTAAAAGAAATGCTGCTTAAAGTGCTCGAATACACTTTGTGTGCCACTATAAGCTGCTAACAATTCATAAAATAACGTAACTATTCTCTGATGATTATTCTCTCTATTTCTCTCTTTGACATTACGTAAATTATTGATATCATGTATTTTTTTCTCTTTGTATAAGCATATCATGTATTATTAATTAATTAGGACTATCTATGTAGAAAAGAAATCGCTATCCATATGTAAAAAGAAATACTTTCGTAACGTTAATAGAATGAAATTTATATAAAATAGAAAATCTTCAATATTTTCGACATTAATTAGTGGATTAAAGTTATTTTACATTTCGCTCGATTTTGTCATTAATTAGAGGATAAGAATTTTTTAACTGTTGAATATAATCTTATTAAATATTTATACACACATATATATGTTTAATAGTAAATTATTATCCAAATATTTGATCAGAGATAACTTCTTCATATGATGAAGATCGAAATAAACGTTGCTTCAACAGAATTTATTTCCCTCAATTGGAACGAAAATTTTCCACTCGCTAGAAATCCTTCGGTGCGCGTTGGGACCTAAACGATCTCGTTACAACCACTTCCGTTTCCGTTGTCGACGCTGGCACGCAGACACGATCGATCTGGCGTCTGGTAGGCTTCCGTCTCATTTTATCCTTTCTTCTAGCTTGGAATATTTTCTGTTTTTAGGAATGAAGTTTCTTTCTTCTTAAGATAGTAGTAAAACTTTTTTTTTGTCTATTGTGTGTCTTATTATGTAGATAATTAATTTTTCTTTATTTATTTATTTTAAATATATACATGTATATAATTTATTTATAACTTTGTAAATACCTGATATATTAACTTGTCGCTTTTATTTTAATGTAATTCAGACTGGAATAATCAATAATCAATTATTTCGTTAGAATTTTCTTACCCTTTCCAAGTGCAAATATTCTGAATTGTGATATCAGCGATTATATATCAATACTTGGATATAGAACAATTATTATGTATCCACTCTCTTAAGTGAAATTTGTGTATTATCATTGATAAGAGTGCAGTAGATATAACATTACAAACGGTAAAATTTCACTGAGAAGAATCAGTTGATGATAATGGCTGATTATTCGGTGAAATCTTATTGTCATAATCAACAAGACGGAGGGAGAAACAAAATGTGTCTACTGAATGTCTACTGAAAATCACTTAAATATTCACTGATTTTTGAAATCTTATCGCTTTAATTAGCCATATTGTTTTCGTGTGTCGCGCGCATTATTGTTAAATATACAACATCAAGGCATCTTGGAGCCTTAGCCAATAAATTTCTCCCTATCCATCCCGGTCTCGCACATTCCCTCGCCCACCTTTCCCATAACCGCAGCGCCACGGCCGTTACCAATCCGCCTGCAGCGCAGGCCGATGGCCTTTTCGCCCGCTTCGTCTCCTCATCTCGTTCCTTGTTCCTCGGCCCGGCAACATGACTATATACCGTCACTGCCACCGCGCCGCGCTGCGTATCGATCGCGGTCGATGCTCGCCCGACGAGTGAAATAACGTTAATCAAGGGGTGAAGGAGGGAGGGAGGGGCAGATGGTGCAACCGCTCCCCTCGTTTGGGGCTGAAGAATGATCCGGCAGTGACATTGAAATTACAGACTGGAGTACACGCGAGAAATGTACACTCCCGGCTTATATATACGATACGATAATCTTTCTTAGCGCAAATATTCTTGATGTTTGATTCTTGATTTATTAATTATTTGAATTTTGAATTTTTATGTTAATTTTGAATTTTAATTTAACTTTAATTATTAATGATTTTCAAGATTCTTCAAAGATTCGTACGAAGAATTTGGAAGCGATGTTTTTCTCGAAAGAAGTATCGTGAGTTTCAGAATATATTCTGAAGTTTTATAGAGTTTGAAAAAGAATTGAACTCATAAAGTTAGAGTTCAAAATGTTACACAGATTACAAAACATTATATATATTTAAATTGTCACACAATTCAAGGAGCGAATTATCGAGGAATCTGTGAATTGTTTGGCAAATCTTAAATGTTTTTACATTATCGCCGCGACAAAGATGGACGATGAAACTAGCCACGATGTAGAGAACGCGATTGTTTTAAGATATCTAAAATAATATTTTTTAATCACGTACATTCTCTCGCATATAATTGCGCGTGGAATAGTAATCGATAAATATTATTATATTTATGCATATAATATAATTATATAATATTGTATATATTTATTTATATAATATAATATTTAATTGTTTCTCAATATTTAACGAAACATGTACCAAAGTACGCATTTGACTTTCATTCTCGTTATTGATTTACATATATTTAATTAAGAATACTGTTTCCCCTTCTGCAATTAGGAAGTCCTAATACTTTTTTTTTTTTTTTAATTCTTTTGTACAATTTTTAATGTATTTTAGATATACACCAGAGAATTGGTAACTTTTCTGATCATATATCCGATAGCCTTCCTGCAAATTAATTTGCAGTTTTGCATTACATTTCATGACTTCTCTCAGGCGAGAACTAATTTTTTGAAAAAAAAAAAAGAAATCTCCGATGCTATCGATTCGCTCCTCTCATGTTTTTTGTCGTCCAAAAATAGCGTATTTTAATCGGGAAAATTCCGGACATGATTCCATTCTTTTCGGACGTCATCGATACAGCCGCTATTGTCGATCTTGTTACGGATATCAATTATTGATCACCTTTGATCTTTCGTCTTTGCAATATCTACTGTGATATAAATATTATGTATTTTTGGCATGCACTAGCTAGTAAATATAATCTCTTTTCGATAGAAAATTGCTGTAGGTGACTTGTCAGCATTTATCCTTAAATTGAGTGACTTTTCTAATTATCTGATTATTATAGGTATGTTAAATACAACGGGGAAATTTTATACCACTCATAAATATTTTATGACTATTCTCTCAAAGCATATATTACATCAAATTTAGTTTTAATTTTGACGGAGTTATAAATTATATGTTATAATAAAAAAGAGAGAAAAAGAATAACAAATTAATTACATTATACAGTATTGTTATATTTTCTAAAGATAACGACCTTAATAAGAGCACAAAATACTCTTTAATAATTGTTGTAATAAACAGTGCTATAATTGTTTTGTAATGTAGATATTACAGAAGATTGATTTATATTATAGAAGATTAATTGTTGGATATTGTGTCATCTATGTGTTGGCATGCGCATGCACTTATACTAAACGAAATTTTCTTTCTCCTTTCAGGTGAGTATTGTAATGTCCCGGCAGACGGTACCGTGAAGAGGTCGTAAATTTTGCAAGTACCCGCGCCACGAGATTACGAGCATTATATCTTCAGGGTAACGTATAGGCTTTTACGCTACTTGTCAGTGCGAGCTCGGTCTTTACGACTTTGCATCATAATCTCGAAGAATGCGCTACAATTTCGCAGAGCAACCTGAGAAAGCTCTATAAACACATTCCCGTTCTGTATGATGTAATAATGTTTATATCGCGAGATATCCCTTATATTAAAGAAAGTTATTCCAATAATGTCATCTCTTGCAAGTCAATATCTTGTTTCGCTTTACGCTGAAAATAGCCCGCGATCGTGAGAAATGTTTCAATAAGGGAGAAAGGAAAATATATTCCAGAGAAAGAAGGGGGAAGGGGAGATCACGATTATCGCAACTGATATGAGAATAATCGTTTGTTTACTTGTCCATTGTCGTTATGAGATTACAATTACGAGTCTGTAAATAAAAATTAATTAATGCTGTCAACTTTTGTCGTCGCGGTGACGCGCATATTCTGCTTCTAATATGAGTAAACTCGCGCGCAATTTGCGTCGGTGCACAATGACGCATTGTTCCGCATACCGCGAGACGAGAGTTTTTGCATATTTTCTTTATAAAGGGGGCGCCTGATCGGCGAATGTCGAACGAGGTTCGAAGAATTCCGCAATACCAAGAAGATCACTCATCTCTCTACGAAATTAGCATGCTATTTTCAGAATTTTCGATATAATCGATAAAGTTTAATTTCTGATGCGAAAAGACGTTTTAATGATTGAAGGTAAAGGAACAGGGATATATTTTTAGAATGTATTTTTAGCACAAAATGAAATTAATTTAATTTTCATAAATTCATGAAAACATTAATATAATTAAATTTATATGTGATTTATTCTATCAAAATAACTCTTTATTAAGGTGTATTATTTACATGTAAAAAAAAAAAAAAAAAAAAAAAAAAAATCAGATTAAAAAGATTAATTCAAAAATTGAAAAAAAAAATTTTTTTTTGTAAAGGAAGATTTTGTCTATTGTGTGTCATTTTTATTATGTAGATAATTAATTTTTCTTTATTTATTTATTTTAAATATATACATGTATATAATTTATTTATAACTTTGTAAATACCTGATATATTAACTTGTCGCTTTTATTTTAATGTAATTCAGACTGGAATAATCAATAATCAATTATTTCGTTAGAATTTTCTTACCCTTTCCAAGTGCAAATATTCTGAATTGTGATATCAGCGATTATATATCAATACTTGGATATAGAACAATTATTATGTATCCACTCTCTTAAGTGAAATTTGTGTATTATCATTGATAAGAGTGCAGTAGATATAACATTACAAACGGTAAAATTTCACTGAGAAGAATCAGTTGATGATAATGGCTGATTATTCGGTGAAATCTTATTGTCATAATCAACAAGACGGAGGGAGAAACAAAATGTGTCTACTGAATGTCTACTGAAAATCACTTAAATATTCACTGATTTTTGAAATCTTATCGCTTTAATTAGCCATATTGTTTTCGTGTGTCGCGCGCATTATTGTTAAATATACAACATCAAGGCATCTTGGAGCCTTAGCCAATAAATTTCTCCCTATCCATCCCGGTCTCGCACATTCCCTCGCCCACCTTTCCCATAACCGCAGCGCCACGGCCGTTACCAATCCGCCTGCAGCGCAGGCCGATGGCCTTTTCGCCCGCTTCGTCTCCTCATCTCGTTCCTTGTTCCTCGGCCCGGCAACATGACTATATACCGTCACTGCCACCGCGCCGCGCTGCGTATCGATCGCGGTCGATGCTCGCCCGACGAGTGAAATAACGTTAATCAAGGGGTGAAGGAGGGAGGGAGGGGCAGATGGTGCAACCGCTCCCCTCGTTTGGGGCTGAAGAATGATCCGGCAGTGACATTGAAATTACAGACTGGAGTACACGCGAGAAATGTACACTCCCGGCTTATATATACGATACGATAATCTTTCTTAGCGCAAATATTCTTGATGTTTGATTCTTGATTTATTAATTATTTGAATTTTGAATTTTTATGTTAATTTTGAATTTTAATTTAACTTTAATTATTAATGATTTTCAAGATTCTTCAAAGATATAATCAGATTAAAAAGATTAATTCAAAAATTGTAAAAATACATATTTTATTGTAAAGGAAGAAATAAAAATAAGAAAAAATTTTATATTTAAAGCTTTTCTGAAAAATGAAAAAAGATGAAATAATTTCTAATATCAAAAAATAAACTTTTGATGATGATTAAAGATAAAAAAGGGATTTAATGAAGAAAAGATATGTATATTCTTATTACAAATATATGATGAAGGTATCTTCAGAGGTCACTGTACCCCGTGAGAGATTTTATAATCGCGACAGACTATCTATGTAAATTCCAATCTCTTGTCTCTCCCCCTGCAGCCATATCTACGCATCGTGAGGGGCAATTAATCTCGCAATTAATATCAAACATTATTCACCGCAGGGGGTTATCCAAGGGGTTATTCTTTAGGAAGGTAACACCGTTATATATCTAACAAGCGTCTTTGATATGATGTGGCATCTGCGAGAATATATGTTAATGAATCCGTGTTGGCGAAATACTGTAATCCCGCGCGCGGTGAGCCTTGGATAATTTATCGAGGAAGTTGTTACAAGTTCTACAATATCCGTCCATTACAAGAATGGACGGATATATACATGACGATTGAACGTTTAGAGTGAAATCGTCAATTCAATGTGCATCGAATTGAAGATTTTACGGTGGCTCGATTCCCGTATTTCCGCGATATAAAGACTGAATCATGCTCGTATCAAATCGAATCACTGAATTTATCAAAGAAGTCATAGACATAGGCAAAGGCCGCGATACTTCCGCTCTATGCGCAAACAAACTACGGTATCGCGGCATGGTTAGAATCAAGCTGTCGTTTTTTCGCGAAACTTCCCGAGATCTAAATAATTCTTCGATTCGCGCTAGAAATCTATCGCGTAGTATTTCCCTTACCAAGACTCGCGCAATGTATCGTGCGTCGTGTGTGTATCATAATTTATTATTCGAGATTCGCGTTATACTCGACTCGAGTGACTCACGCGATCCCTCGGCGCGATCTGCAGGCCGGCGATAATTCATCGCGCTGTGCGAGTTGCAAGGTGTATGCACCTCCCGCCGGATACTACTCCTCTCGGGGGCGCATAAATACGTAAATCGCCGCGCGCTTGCCTGCAGTATTTCCGGATTAATCTCGTGCTCGCCGGTTAATACGTGCTTTAGGATACCGCGGCCCGCGGCTGCTTCTCATGCAAATTATATGATAGCGCAGAAAGGCGAACGGAAGAGCCGATACGCCTTAGTCGAAGATGAAAAATTCGAAGCTCCTCCCCTGCTTCCTAAATAATGCTTTCTGGCATGCATATTGAGAAGTGCTTGCTTCTTGTCACGATCTTGTTGATTCTCTTTTTACAAATGTAGACATTTTATATTCAAATTGGTTAGGTTTAACTGGAATTCATAGCGCGTTTGAAAATGAAACTTACATTGCTTTAATATTATTATATGTACGATATATTGCATAATCCCTTTTTAAAGTTTTTCGCTTTAATTTAGCTGGGAAATTAGGATCACATAATGATATTTTTAATCGATCGGTTATCGAATTAGGAAGCTAACTATGTAGATAGAATAGAAAATTTGTGCGTAGGTCTCGCTGTGCGGTAAATTTTCCCATTAGGGTTTTCGCGATCAAAGGATTCGCAGGCGTTGGGGAATAAAGAAAATCGAAGGTCGCGTAGAGGGAGACGAATATATCCCCGGACGGTTGGCGTGTATACGGGGAAAAGCAGCACCTACGCGATACGTGCCGACATTCTAAAAATACGGGCTTATTTTAGCGAGAAGAGGGATGCGTGTACCCGTGTGAGAGGACGTTACACGGGTAAGTGCTATACGAGCAGGTTTAGAGCTACAGCGGAGAGGAAGGTCAGAGAGCGCGAGTTGCGCGCAGAAAAACGCGAACGAAATATCGCGTTCAAACATCGTCGAGAAACGCATTTGACGCGAGTTTAAAATAAGAAAACGCACGATAGGATCGCGTGTATATACATACAGACGCCTCGTCGCAAGTTTATCGCACGCAACAAACCTCCGCACACGCTTATATTTTATTCGACGTGTTTCCTGTCTTTAGTAAATGTATGATTAAATTTATTTCGCCAATTATAATGTGATTTTAATTGCGAAACCTGACGCTTTTTTTCGCTGCATTTTATTACGTCTGCGCAAGTGAATAGAAAACGAGCTAACGTCTAGAAGAAGCAAAGAACCGCGAAAGGTCTATTATCGTGAAAAAGACGCGACCATCTTTTGCGTCTGACAACGATATCGATCGTGCGGAAGGTCGCGTGCGTGCACGATTCTCTTGTCCCCGCCTGGAGACGTGTGTCAGCGCGTGCGGCGCCGGGCGTCGGGCGCCGACGTTTCCTCTCCGACGCTGAAGAAAGAAACGGAGATATGTGTGCGGAAAGGAGCGGACACGTCGCGTCGCGTCGCAGTGTTTAATTATTTCTACCACGGCTCAGACGTGTGTGAGCAAAAAATAAAATTTTCCCCGACGAAACACATGGCTGCGCTGCTCTCTGTAATAAAGGTCGATAGGCCGAGAGGAGATCCGTCTCTTCAAAGTAATTACATTTCCGATAAAAGGGAAAAGAGACGCGTGCAGCTTTAATAAAAGAAAAGGCAAACATTAACCGTTTTCAATCGAAAGCATCTTTGATAGCTTTACTTATTTGCTCATTTATTGAAATTTTATATATATTTTGTCTCAACTTATATTACACACAGCTTGTTATATAAATATATTATTTATAAGTGATCACACGTGGCATTTCGAATGTTTAATTTCTAATTACAGTGCTTACAAACTCGCGAGGTTTTGGATTTCTCGAAGATTTCGGAAAATTTCGCTAAATCGCTCCTATATTCGTTCGTCGAAAAGTTTCTTTTCGCTCACCCCGTAGAAAAGCACGCACTGCTTGCCGGGCTGCGT